TACTGGGATAGTACCTCCCATCACGAACTAGATGCCTAGACCATAGATACTATAGTGAGTTGGTTTGTTCTTCTCACTTTGGTCAGTAACATAGAGTGGAATATGTGAAGTCACTATATTAGATCTTTAATCTATGTACAATATTTTTTATACAGAGCTAGAGATGGTGAAACGTGTAAGGTTTTCAGTTGTTTTATTTTGTGATCATGCATTGTATATTGTTTGTCTATTCAAGAAGTTATTTGAGTACAATTTTATTGAAATTTTAAATTTTGCATTGAGCTTTGCTTATCTTTGCATGAAGTTTGTTTTTAAAAAAAAGGTTATATTAAGAGTTTTGAACAAGTTCGTGTATTTATATTTCATTGTAAAAATTTGCAAATATTCCAAAATTTATCAAGTGTTTTATCACCCTGTTGTTTCTAATATCCATATAGCTCACAAGACAAGTTGTCTTATTTAGTATTTGTTTTATGATATCATTTCTCTCAAATTTGAAAGCAAGGACTTAGAAGTTTGGATTATTAGAAGGATTCGTGGAAGATAGATGGAGTGGAACTTGTATAGACTTCTATTTATGATCTTTTGTTTTTCTTATTTACTTTTTATGGTTTAGTATGATATGAATTTTTTCACACGAATCATGTAAACACTTCAATAATGGTTTTTGTTGGATCACCTTTTGATAAAACAAAACTTATTATCTTGAAAAGTTCTAAACCATAGCACTATAAATTAGGGTATATATATATATATATATATATATATATATATATATATATATATATATATATATATATATATATATATATATATATATATATATATATATATATATATATAAAAGAGAGAGAGAAAGAAAGAGAGAATTAAACTATTTACATACAAAAAAAACTTACTTGAATGTCTATTTTTTTCTTCGGACATGAGTGGAGAGCATTTTTTTAATATTTTGTAATGAAAAAAAGAAAAAAAAAAATATGCTCCCACAAAACTTTTTGGCTTAAATATGAGGACCACATCCAACCCATTTCACAATGGGTATCCTATTTTGCATAGGGATAATTACTTAGGAGGGTAATAACGTTTTCTGTTTGTTCATTTTAGGTTCCTAACGTATTTTTTGTGTGTATTATACCATTAATGTTATTATAACCGTTTACAAATAATCCTTTTAACAGGAAGAAGTCGGTAAAAGGATTATTTATAAACGGTTATAACAACCTTAATGGTGTAATATACACAAAAAATACATTAGGGGACATAATAAGGACAAATGGAAAACGTTATTACCCTCCTAAGTCATTATCCCATGAAACTATAATCCCCTATAATAAATTTTTACTTTTTAAATAAGAAACTTATAGGTCTTGGGGTTGGTAGTTTGGATGTTTTTAACTTCGGCTTTCTTTATAAATGGAAGTGGCGGTTTTTTAATGACAATGGAGCTCTTCGGGTTAAAATTGTCAAATTTTGTCATGGGGAAGGTGGTGGTTTTTCGGACGATTCGAGAATAGGAATTGGAGGGGGTGTTTGGCAAAAGATTGTAGGATCCATTAATCACCTCCATGAGAATGGTTGTATTCCTTCTAATTACATGTATAGAGTGGTGGGGGATGAGACTCAAACGAGGTTCTAGAAGGATGTTTGGTGCTACTCGAACATCTTGATTAAAGGCTAAAGCAAAGAGCCTCCCGAACCGCTCCTTAAGAGGAATATCCAAGCACCAAACATACTTCTAGAACCTCGTTTGAGTCTCATCCAATGTTTTAAAACCCGGGTCGACCCGGCCGGTTCAACCGGTTGGACCGTGATCCGGGATAGAAGGCGGGTCAATTGAGATCGACTTTCGTAAAAATACAAACCGGATCGAACCGGTCGGGTTTTCCTTAAACCGCGGTTCGACCGCTTATGTCGAACCGGTTAAAACCGGGTTGACCCGTTTTAATAGGGTTTGGATAGTTGGATACAAGTAGCGAACGCCAAAACAACGAGCCGTTTGCGGTTTCTTCAATATTTTTTAATGTTTAAACTTTGTAGACATTAACTTATTGGTTTTATATGTTTATGCATTATGCATTAAAGTAAAAATATATAAAAATAGCGAAAGACCATAAACCGGGTTGATCCGTGAACCGATCATTACACGGGGTCAACTAAAAACTCGGGTTTTAAAACATTGGTCTCATCCCCCACCACTTTATACATGTAATTAGAAGGAATACAACCATTCTCATGGAGGTGATTAATGGATCCTACAATCTTTTACCAAACACCCCCTCCAATTCCTATTCTCGAATCGCCCGAAAAACCACCACCTTCCCCATGACAAAATTTGACAATTTTAACCCGAAGAGCTCCATTGTCATTAAGAAACCGCCCCTTCCATTTATAAAGAAGGCTGAGGTTAAAAACATCCAAACTACCAACCTCAAGACCTATAAGTTTCTTATTTAAAAAGTAAAAATTTATTATATGGGTTTATAGTTTCATGGGATAATGACTTAGGGGGGTAATAACGTTTCCCGTTTGTCCATATTAGATCCCCAACGTATTTTTTGTGTATATTACACCATTAAGGTTGTTATAACCGTTTATAAATAATCCTTTTACCGGCTTCTTCCTGTTAAAAGGACTATTTGTAAATGGTTATAATAACCTTAATGGTGTAATATGCACAAAAAATACGTTAGAAACCTAAAATTGACACCTAAATCATTATCATTTTGCATGAGCACCTGACGAAGTGCTTATGGGCACTACGAACTGCCAAAACAATATACTTTTGGCATTTAGCATAATCCCTTACAAAATACATGGTTATTGGTGGATAATATTTATTTTTCACTGATTTATAGAAAAACCTTTAAATTTTGACTTTTGTATCATTTTCTATAAAATTACTTATATTGCTTTTTGGTATCAACTATGCTATTAAGGTATTAAGCTCTAAAACTTCATGATAGATAATGTACAATTCTCCCTTCTAAAAAATAGATAATTTCCAATTCTAAATACTACACATGGATGGAAGGATATGCTAATACATACAAGTTTATAATTTCTTATATAAAGAACTCAAACTCAATAACAGATAAATACGCTCTACAGTTGCCTTTAAACACTTATCCACAATTTCTCTCGAGTGTAAGTCGATCGCAAATTCGTGATGATACCATAATTAAATAAAAGAAGTTGGATCTCTTATCAACTACGCCTTCACCAATCTCTTCTTAAAGTTTTTCATTTATAACCTTACGTATCTTAAAATTGCAAACAACGTTGATTAATATAAGAATTATGTATCCATTTTATTTAGTTATTATGCTAACTACAAAATCACTTCTAACATAAAAAATTCAACTATTGATTACACAAGATATATGACCCTTTGGAAGAACTTTTTTTTTCCTTTATTTCACTTTTGGCCGAGTATCTAATTCTTCATTGTTGACAACCCCACCCTATTTCTTACATTGAAAATCATCTTCGATCGCAAACCTACTGAAGTGTCTATTATGAATTGATATTAAAATAAAAACTGGAATTGATATTAAAATAAAAACTGCAATATCTGAAGGTATATCATAATTGTAGTGTTTGTTTTTTAAATCTTTTCTAATTATCTAATGAAGTCTTGATTTTTTATAAGCAAAATAATAATAATAATAATAATAATACCAATACCAATACCAATACCAATACCAATAACAATAACAATAACAATAACAATAACAATATCAATAACTTCAAGTCCTATCATATCATTTGTAATCTTTTAAACATGCGCTATATCTTTAAAACGAATTAACAATAACATTAAATTAAAATAAATAAAAAAAATAAAAAAAAAATAAATAAAAAATAAATAAAAAACAATAACTACATCAGATCTTGTCAAATATATAAAAGATAATAAAAGTATTAAGCATATAGTTATAAAAATATATTACAAGAGAAATACTATATAACCATTCTGAAGTTGATTTTTGATATTAAAATTGATATTATAGAACATTTAAAAATTGTCAAAAAATAATTGAGATTTGAAGTTTCTATATAATTAGAGAAGTACAAATTAAGTACTATTGATAACCTTTGAGAAAGTCACAACCATTATTGAATAAATGTTTGAAATATCAAGGTGAAAGCCACAAGTATCTTTGACGTGCCTTCATTATTGCAAGTAAAGTTGATTCTTAGCTTTTACACAAAAGGCTACTGCACTCCTCCATTCTTTATTGTAAGTGCTAACTGGAGCCCACCAATGTAAGAAAGATCTTTTGAAAGCTGTCATAATCTAGCGTAAGAAACATCTTTTCAAAGCTGCTGATCATCTTCCATATGTCTATAATTCTCAGGTATGATTACGAAAGAGCATAATAGCATCATCATCGTTTAACAAACTAATATTGTGTATAACATCTACCTTGTGAGCATTTAATTAATGTTCATCTTTAGTTGTGATTATTATTCGTCTTCCTTCACCGAACCAATCACGTGACCCAACCAACGTTTTTAGATTGTTAACGTGATCCACATCATCCGAAACAATCGCCCTTTCTATGGCAAAACCTAAATGTTAGTTGACTCACATGATTGGTTCGTTGTAGGAAGCCGAATAATAATCACAACTAAAGATGAACATTTATTATATGCTCACAAGGTAGATGTTATACACAATATTAGTTTGTTAAACAATGATGATGCTATTATGCTCTTACACAAACATGCACCACAGGATTATAGACTTTTGGAAGATTATAAACCTATGGAAGATTATGAGTTGCTTTCAAAAGATGTGGTTTTTTATGCTAGTCGGCTCCCGTTAGCATTTAACGTCCTCGGTTGTTTTCTATGTGACAAAGACATTAATGAGTAAGCATATTTTGTTAAACCATATTTTTATGGTTGTGGGCTCCCGTTTACATTCTTTTCCAAAAATAATTTTATCTTGTAATTTTGTTAAACCACACGTTCTTGAGTCCTCTTGAATATTTTCAACGAAGCAGCAACCATCAAACTTGATAGAGATTTCATCATAAATCGAAGATGCAAGAGTAGTCTTACCACCTGCCCCAACCCCCCATATTCCAATCATGGGCACACCACTTGAGTTAATTTGTAACTTTGATTTCAAACTTTGCATACGGGCATTTGTGCTTGATTTTATTAGCTGCAAACTCTATGAAATAGTGTAAGCAATTTCTTTGATGCCCTATGATTCATACCTACACATAAGATATACAAGGATAATTAACATACTCACATTGACAACATCAAAAGTAATGAACATATCTCCACTAGTTGTGATTACTAATCAAAAGATCAGGTCAGAGCCTTTCCTCATTATCCTCAGCGACATGTAAGGATAATCAAGACATTTGTACAAAATGCTTATAAGGTACAAGTGCAAATTTCTTGTATAGCATCACATATCTTAAGCATAAAAAATGCAAAATCATAAAAGAAAACTACCTGTTAGCAATTTGATTCGTGTACAAGATTCGACTTTGTTCTTGTTCTCTAACTCATGTTTCACAAATGCTTCTCCGTATTTCCGTTTTTGTTTTCGCACTTCAGATGGATCCACATCATAAAATATAGGCATAACGATTTTCCCTCTCGTATCTTTGCATTTCATAATATACTCAAGTTCAACTAAACACCATGAAGAATCTGCATAGTTTTTAGAGAATACGATGATGCAATATCTGATTTTTTGATTGCCTTCTTAAAGGATGGGTCGATCAATAGTATTTTGTCATCCTTGTAAGTGTAGATCCCTTGTTGCACAAAAGTTTGTGTAAACATGATCCACAAAAGTCTTGCGAGGATCTGTTCTAAAACTAAGAAAAACATTGTGATTCCATGATTGAGATGAAAAGACAGAGCTGAAGGAGAATGAGATGATGATGATGCCATTGATGTGCTGATTTATTGACATAGAATGATGTGGTTTGAGCACCTGAAATAAATATAATTGTTTATAAAGATATGTGAGCTTCCAAGAAATTTCCAATTTACCGAAAGCTATAGAAATATCAAATATCTTATCACTTAAGATTTTCAAAGAGATAGAGTTTCCTAGAAATTTCTTAACATGTGACATTTTCAATTGAAATAAATTAAATAAGAAAAAATCGCCCACATTTCTGATATTGTCCATATCTTCCGTTTCATACAATTCTTCCTCTGTTTCAGACGTTTCCAAAAATAGAGCATATATAAGAACCTCAATTTCATCATATTAAATTTTCAAGGTCTAACAGACTGATTACAAAAATGGTTCCATAACTCGATTCTATTCTCTATGATGCTAGATCTCACGTATTTACTACGGAGGTTGTTACAACCAGCATGAAATATAAAGAAATTAGAACATGTTCATAATGCAATCCGACACAAGTAACCCAGATAGTATTTTCTAGAAGCTTTAATTTCAATTCCACGATTATCACATTTATTAAGCAAAAACTCTGAGTACTAGAAATAATTTGATACAGCAAAAGGTAGCAGAAAAAACAGCAGCTACAGCAAGAACGAAGCATGTAACAGAGACAATTTAAATTACTTACTTGTTTGTTGATGTCAATCCGTTTGACCAACAACGAAGCATTTGATATTTCAGATTCAAATCACCAATTTGCTTCAAGCACCAAACATGCGAAGTATGTGAATATCAGCGAAGGAAGCTTCGGATCGTAGGGAGGCGTGATGGAAGCAAATCGGAGGTGGAGGCGTGATGGAGAGGAGACTGTTAATTAGGTTAAATATACGGCCCCTTTTACGAAGTCCTGGCCCTAAGGCTGCACACCATATGACCCTGACACACTACTGGCCCTTTTAGAGTTTGGGTATAGTCCCTTCTTCCTAGTCCGGTAAATAGGTCCAAAACCAGCCTCAATTAAAAGAACCGAAGATTGGATTGTGTAATTATAGAAAACTAAATTCCGACCATTTAGAAGAAACCGGTTCTGGTACCAAAAGGAAAGAACCGTTTTTTCGTTTTTTTAGGACATGGGTTTTTTTTGTAATTCTGAGCAAGTGCAGGGGATGTTATTCTTTTGTATTTGTAATAATAAGTTACCCTCGTGCAAAAAGTTCATACGGTGGACTAAATTCTTATAATTTAGGTATAAGCTTACATAAGAAAAACTTTATTGAGCGCACATATTTTGTAAGGCATTTAGTAATTCAAATGGACCTAAAATGATACCGTATTACAGTAGGAGTCAGGGGAGAAGGACGACGATACAATGGGGTGATAGATCCTTCGAAGAATCTGTACCACTAAAAGGAAGACATGCAGGAGGAAGAAGATACCATGGGGTAATAGATCCTTCAAAGAATCTGTACCGTCATTCTATCTCTCTCTCTAACATTTAGTAGTGCATGAATTACTTGTATGTAATTTTAATTATTTTGTGCTTACTTAAAGATTAAAAATTAAGCGGCCTATGAAGAATAAAAAATATAGGTTTTCATTTTTTGTGGAATTGGAAAGATATAAGAAAGAAAGAATATATAAAAAATCTCTTAGCAAAAAGGTTAAGTGAGTTGTGATGGATGAATAGTACATTATGTCCCTAGGTAATGTTGGATAGTTAACTGTGGTAGTTGATTTATGTTTGGCTATTATATGGAAAATTATTTAAAAAAATAGGGAAATTAAGTAATTTAATAATATTTTAGTTTATAGTTAACAAAAAAAAACATTTTTTGTAAAGTAATCATTGTGTCCGTAATGGTCATTTATGTAACACCCGTAGATTCGGGCTAGTCAATTTAGAACATATAAAGAACGTCGAAATCCGAGTTATAACAAAGAAGTTATGACCTGTCGAAGTTTCGTGACAGAACCGGCACGACACAGCTCGATGTAAATAGTGAATTTACGATAGAGCGATATCTGGATTTAGCGATCTAAACGAAAGTCGTAGAATACGTTAAACCGAGAACGCACATTGAAAAGAACGCCCAAATCTGACTTGGTATGAGGAAGTTATGATTTTTCGAAGTTTCGGCTTAGTAGTGTACAGACCGAAGTTCGAATATGAGATCGGGCGATATTTAGCCGAAACAATCTAAACGAGAATTGAAAATCTCTTCGATTATAGTCCAACAGTGAAATGATAGATGAAAACGGATGACAGATGAAGAAGTTATGAGTTTATAACAGAGTTTTCCTGTCCCGGCCTACTAAAAATAATATATAAATAATATAATAAAAATAAAGTCAAAATTAGTCGACGAAGTCTAAATGAAAGTTGTGATCTTATTTTTACCTACACATCGATATAAAGAACGTTGAAAACAGAGATTGTATGCGAAAGTTATGAATGTCTGAAGTTCAGGGCGCAAAACCCAAAAACCGTCAGAGTTCACGACGTGAATACAGTGTTCACAACGTGAACTCATTATTGATGACTTCTGGAGCCTGACAAATGCAAGTTGCGATGACGCACCTGATGACTATTGAACTAACGATGTGAATATTTGAGATTCACGACGTGAATCCAGAAAAATGTCCCTATAAATAGAATTCAAGGGGCAACCGAGTTTGGTTGCTCAATCTCTTCTCTCCCACTCCCGATACCCTCTCTAAGCCCTATTTTAACCCCCCCCCCCCCCCCGCGAAGCCCTGGTATCATCCCGAGACCCGAAGCAAGTCCCGAAGCCCGAAGATCCTGAGAAGAAAAGAGTTTCTGAGCCGAAGCTCTACCCGTGAGAAGCCCGGTGTGCGAAGTGATCCCGGTTTCACCGAAGAAGTACTACTCTGAGAGCCGTAGTGTTGTCCGATCATCTTCTGATCAAGTGAGTGTATAGTCACTTTCATAAACACGATTTTAATACAAGTATTGTTTGAATGTATTAAGTATATGTTTGGTGTGAGTGTGTAGTTACTTTCTTCTAACACATAAATACGAAGTATTTACTATGAAATACGTGCTATGTGTTTATATATTGTTTGTTTATTTGAGATGGGTGGAATGAATGTTTTATATAGGTTTTAAATGAGTTAACCTGTATATATATTTTATATCTACAAATATGTTGGGTAGAACATGGGTAGATGAAATAGTTGATGTGTGATGAAAGATCCATGTTGAGTAAACCTTGGCGATTATGGAGTTAGCGCTAGTTGAGTAAAGCTTAGCGACTATGGAGTTAGTGCTTGTTGAGTAAACCTTGGCGACTATCGAGTTAGCGCTTGTTGGGTAAGTCTTGGTGACTATGGAGTTAGCGCCTGATAGCTATGGATTTAGTACCTGATAGATAAACTTTGGCAGCAATGGACTTCGTGCCAATTCGTTAGGCCAATCCTTAGGAATGTGTGAATGAAGGATAGTTAATTCTTAAGGTAAAACCTTAAGAGTAAAGAAGATAATGGGGATGGGTAGTTGGGTTAATTGTTTGATAATTGAATATAATAATTATATTATTGTGGGTTGAAAACCCTATATGCTCACCGGGCTCCCAAGCCTGACCCACTCAGTTTTCTTTGCATCACTGGTAATGGCACAAGAGTATAAGTTGGTGGACTTGACGAGAAATTTTGGATTATAGATCAGTAGTTATAAATGACTGTTGTAAGGTCTATTTTATATTGTTTATGCTTTTGGTCTGTATCGGAACATGACATCTCGAGATTTTGTTATTTAATGAAAATACATTTCTTTAAAGAAATGCTTTGATAAATTCTTATCACATTTTGTTTTGGGAACAAATTCCGCAATTGTTTTCTTTAAAATATTACTTTGATTTTAAAACAAAGCATAAACGAATCGGTCTTTTCTGGCCGAGAAATTGGGGATGTCACAGTTGGTATCAGAGCATTAGTTTAAGCGAACTAGGAATTTGTAGGATTTCTAGACTTAAACTTAGAATGTTAAGCAATGATTGTGAGATGAGTGTCTACCGTATTTTAGGCATGAGCACTAGTATATTTTAGGAAAGATGCCTAAAATGCTTTTATGTGCTAAATGCTATATGTTTGCCTTATATGCTATTATTTGTTTAGATCTATGGTCTGTTGCCGACTGGATATAGAAATTTTATGTGCTTAGGGTTCTAAAAGTTTAATTATGATATTAGAACTGGCATGTAATTTTTCGGAGTAATAAGGAGGATTACACATCTAAACCCTCCTCTATCTATATTCTTGTCTCGATACACCGAACGTCTGCTTTGGTGTATAGAACGTTATGGTGAAGACTCGTAGAGAATTGAGTAAATGGAGGAAATGAAAGGCTTATGATAGTGAATGACACCTATCAAAAGATATTTTAAGAGTGGTATCTTGCCATTAGAATATGTCTGATAAAATAACGGAATGTTTAGAGGAGTACGGTACGTCTGATGTACACCTTCGATTGGCAGGATGATGGAACAGTTGGTGTAATTCCTGAAGTTGTCCCATCGTCTGGAATTTCCATCACCGATCGAGTTGAAGCATGATTAATGATAGAAGATATGCATAGAAGAAGTCCTAGTAGAGTCTAGGAAAAATTTTATGATTAATTGGACACATTCGTATGTGTTAAATTATTTGGTGATTTTAGGAATTGGGGACTGCGAGACAATACTTGGAATGAGTATGAGTAGGTGTGAATAGTAGTAGAGATCTATACTACTAGAAGCACATGACTCACACTTGGATCAAGGAAAGTCACAAGGTTACCAAGAAGCTTGTAATTAAGTTCGTTTTTATTCAAGTATGTCGTTACCATTGTTTCGGTAATGAATAAAAAGATGATTGATATTCTGACCCTAGCGGTCATATCAAATTGAGTCCGACTACAATGAGTTTGTTACGTAGTTCATAGAACCAAGTTCGAGGTAGTATCTGACTTAAATCAGAAAATTGAAATCAATGCGATCGATAGCATCACACTCGTTGTTAAGGAAGCTTCTAGCTAGAA